GACGTTGAATTCTTCGTTCATAGTTTCTTGTATATTCTGCATTTGAGCTCCATTTTGAAGAATTCCCGGGAGTGCTGAAGTAGCTGTTTTGTTGTCTAGCTTGATCCTCGGAAGGAAGCTTTCTTCTTTAGCATGGCTCGCTAAAGTTTTTCGCAGAACTTTTTCAAGATAGTACGTCGCATCTGTTGCAAACCAGTGTGTTTGTTTGGCCGATAATTGCATTGTTTTGCGGTTGTATGTCTTGCAAATTTTGAAGCAGTTGACTGATAACCGCCTATTCATCGTCGTATTTTTTTAAGTATCTGGATGACAACGTCGTGGTTGTCCGCTGTTATTTGGAGCCTGCTAACCGTGTCCTTTGCGGGCCTTTGGAGGGTTTCCAGTAGGTAACTTAGCGTCTCTATCTTACTGAGGTTGATTCTGTGGATGCGGCGTCGAAAACTCCCCAAAAATGATTCCATTCCCCTTGTCGTCCATCGAACTTGGGAATGTGAATTGGCGCGAGACGTGGCTTGACCGTCTCATCCAAAGTCGAGCGATATATCGGTATATCTGCGTTCTCTTTTGATCAGAGAAAGTTGAGTCAGACGATTCTGAGCTTTTTGATGAATAGCTTGTGCGCTATCAATGACCAATTCAATTTTGACCATCTGGTTTAAGCGCTTTTTGCAAGTTTGCCATGTTCAGTTTCAGTTCCTGACGGTCATGGTGGATGTGCCGTAAATGCTCTCGATTGAACTCATCTTTGCGTATCCATCAAGGACTGTCCACCGAGGCATACTTATTGAACACTTCATTCAATACTGTGCCCATCCGAGTGAGCCATGACTGTTTTCGGCTAAGTTTGACCGCCATGCTTGTAGGCAAAGTCGATCCAGATGAAGTGGCAGTTGGTCCACAGAAGGGCGCCACGCCTATACAATGACTTGCGGGGGCCAGCCGATGTACAAGTCAGTGTTTTTATCCTCCCAGACAAGTCTGGTACCAATTAACCGACCCCGGAGGGATGGAAGGCTTGGTTGGCCCGGGCGACTCACGACCCAGGATTTGATCCCCGGACCGCTCGCGTGGTAAGCGCACTTGCCACTACACCACTTCCGCCCGAAAGATATGCAGGCAGGAATGGGAGATTTTTAAATTTCTATATTTCTCGTCTTACGCTCACAAACTCGTACAAATATCAGTCTTCAATAGCACGTCCGAACTACCTCTTCTGAAGCATTCTTCAACTTCACCATCCCTCCTAGACTGGCCAAGCAACTGCATATAAATAATGCGATACCCCAGCAGCAGTTTACCTTCTTAGAGTCACTCAATCCCTAATATTTCTGCAAAAATATACTGAAAAAGCCCTTCAGAGGTCGTCAGAATTAACTCTGATTTGAAGAAAATCTGAACCTTTCTGCAGAACTTAGCGCATTATAACCTACCAACAATGTCCCCGTCCCACCCCACATGACACTTGCGAGTATGGACGCTCTAGTGTCAACGCGAGCTGCGTAACGGAATCGACGACTTTTGCGTTCTGACGCCCTTATCAGCCCTTATCAGTTGCTATCGCTTTCATCATGTACCACCAATGTCCCGGGACCACCCCACATAACACTTGTAAGTATAGACGCTCTAGTACCAATATGAACGACAAAACGAAATTGGCGATGCTCGCTTTCTAGCCCCTCTTATCAGCTATTATCAGTCGTTATCAGTTCCTATCACATACCACTTGTGTGATCGTGATCGTTACTGTGAGCTATGAATTTCCGGTCAAACACACACACACCAACAGACACGCTTGGCCGATTATATGTAGTAGGAATTGTAACATTCGCATAACTATTGAGCTATCTCATAATTTCTAGCCAAATTTCGACATTTTCATTTTTTAACATTTCATCTTTGTTGAAACATAATTGATCGAGAATATAATCACCAGCAGTCTCCATGTCGTCCTTTCTTGGAACCTCGGCATTTGATGTTATATGTATGTACTGCAATTGTTTTTGTACTGTGTGCCAAACGAGGTTTTTAAGATGGAATCTTTATTCACTTGCCTGACGTTTCGACCGTCATTTTACTGACATCAACTAACACAGGGCGTGAGCTACTGCTCCGCATCGGTGGAATCATCGACCATCTCCAGGCCTCTGAAGAAGACGAAGCGGTCGAAACGTCAGGCCAGTAATAAAGATTCCATCTTAAAAACCTCGTTTGGCACATAGTGCAAAAACAATTGCAGTACATATAACCACCAGCATAATCATGATATGCATCCATTTGCTAGGGAACGAATGGATGCATTCCTCCCAGAACGAGTGAAGCTGTGAGATGAAAAGCTCGGAGAGGTCGTTTTTGGGGTGGTTGTATTTACTGACTTTTTTCTCTCCTAGCTGCTGCTTCAGGGAGCTGGGAGGTGATAGTACGATGGAGCATGTCAGTGCTATGTCTGATGTGGTGTCGTGGTCCGGCCACATTCCTTCGAAACGTGGCGACCCCTCTCCCTTCTCCACGCGATGGTCCACATCTTGGGAAGTAATTCGAATACAGAATCTTGTGGATTCTATCCGCGATCTGCACACGTTCTGACGTGTTGAATTCCACTGCAGAAGCCCGCGAAGACTTGCCTCGTCCGGATCGCCGCGCAGCCCGCCGCGCGATTCGCCGCGTGCAGCCCGGACGAGCCGAAAGTCCGTCGCCCTCGAAATACAACTGATAGTAATCGACGGTACATACTGGCTAACTGATGGAGCAAAAACGGTTCTGTAGAGTTTGCGGTCGGATTAAGCTCACAGGTCACGTACAGACGCGGTAACATTGCGACGCGGTACAGCGTCCCACTCATGTCATTCCTTTTCTTGCTCGACGTCTTCTCCAATTGCTACTATTTTTTTTGAATCACACTGTAATACGACTGCGCTCTACCGCGTCATAATGTTCTACGTGGTCTGCAATGCAATGAGGGACATGACTGCAGACGACTTGGTTCACCGACCTGTCAAATACTGTCTAACCTGTACCACCTGTCGTCCCATTATGATTTGCTCGAGCGAGCGCCAGGAAGGTCATAATTCGTCGCTGTCGCCTGTTAGACTGGTCCAGTGGATCCTCCTTGCTCGAGGGACACGAGTCCATTCCTTTCGTTCAGAGCTTTCGTGAAGAAGTCTGACCATCGGGCCGGCGGTCGTCCAGGTGTTCGTTTGACGTCCCGAGGGATCCAGTCGGTAACCGCTCTGGTCCAACGGTCATCGCAAAATCGCATGACGTGTCCGGCCCACCTTATCTTCGATTCCTTGGCGAAAACGGCAGCGTCCCTGATCTTCGATCGTTGGCGTAGTTCGGCTCCGGATTCCCCTCTGCACTTGCGTGTATAGGGTTACTCCTAGCATCGTCCTCTCGACAGCGCGTTGGATAACGCTGACCGCATGCTCGTCCTGCCTGCGCAGAGTCCAAGTCTCTGAGGCGTAGGTTAGGGCAGGAAGGACAGCGGAATCGAAGAGGTGGGCACGGAGCCGGATGTTCTTCGTCTTCTTCACTACTCCCTCGATGTTCTTGAACGCTCCCCATGCCGCTCGTTTCCTCCTGCTCAGCTCTGGAGCTAGATCGTTCATCATATTGATTTCCCGACCTAGGTACACGTAGCTGGAGCATTCGGTGATGTTCGTTCCGTTGAGCGTGAATGGGGCATCAGGAACCAATCCGTTTCTTATAATTCTTATCGTATTCGTTAGGTGCAAGCCCTCTCCCGACGTCGATGATGACCTCCTTGTAGAATGGTGAGATCCTGGTCGTAAAGTTGCTGTAGAGCTCACGAAGAATCTTGATGTACTGAGTAGGGACGCCCTGGTTGCCCAAGGCTTCGATGACCGCTTCTGTCTCCACAGAGTCGAAGGCCTTCTTCAAGTCGATGAACGTGAGACAAAGCGGCATCTTGTACTCTCGTGAAACTTCAATGAGTCTTGTAACCGTGTGGATATGGTCGATCGTGCTGAACCCTCTTCGGAACCCTGCTTGCTCGCATGGCTGTCCTTCATCTAGTATTCTGCCGATCCTGTTAAGGATGACTCGAGTGAATAGCTTGTAGATTACAGACAGCAGGCAGATTGGGCGATAGTTGCCAATGTCGTCCAAGTCTCCCTTCTTGTACAGCAACACGGTCCTGCTGGTTTTCCACGTGTGGTACCTTGCATTCCGACAGGTAGCGCGTGAAGAGTCGAGCCAGAGTTTTGATGATAACTGGCGGTGCATTCTTCAGATGTTCCGGTTTAACCCTGTCGAGACCGGGTGCTGTACGATTCTTCACCGACTTGATGGCGTGTCGGACTTCGGAAGAGAGAACTGAGGGGACGACGTATCCATCCTGTTGCAGTTGATAAGTAGGCAGATGGACATGGCTATCGAAGAGATCCGAGTAGAAGTCGTGGATGACTTTCTCCATTGCCCTTCGGGATGCAGTAACTGTTCCATCCGGACGTCGGAGGCAGGTCATCTTGGTCTTGTAGCTGGCAAAGCTTCGGCGGGCATTGCGGATGCTCCTCCCAGCCTCTGCTGCTTCAGCTAATACTGCTGCTCTTCGCTCCTTGAGATCTTCCTTTATCGCCTCTCTGCATAGCTTCGCAAGCTCGGACGTGAGTTGGTGATTGTCTGGAGCTCTGTCAAACATGCTCCGGTATAAAGGAGGTTTTTCCACATTATACGAAGTTCATTCTTCTCCTTTTAGCCGTATGTAACTTCTACGCATTTTATATTGTTGGATTGGTTCTATGCTATTCAGATTTTGCAGTTATCACTCAAAATCAGTGACTGTGAGGTGAGGCTGCCGCGCTCGCAAAAGAAAATCGCGTCTGTCCCTTGTGGCCAAAAAGCTGAAACGCGCCCTGCCGTCAACGTCTTGAAAAAACACAAACACAAACACTAAAGTCGTTAACCCTCACACCGAAGTGTTTAAAGACAATGTACCAATGCAAAGAAAATGAAAATCATAGCTATCGTTTACAAACTTACCCATATAAGCTTGGATATTTGATCGCAAGAAGCCGGTTCACAGCGATTTGTATGTGCCCATACGTGGATGCGTACCATAAAAGAATAGCAAGTTGACCCATCCTTGCACCAAAGAAGGATTGAACAACGGTATCATGAAATCCCCTTAAAGGTTACAGATTAAGTCATGACAGATGAGCACCTTCCTTCAAGAAAAGTGTTGCGGAAGAAAGCGTTCGGCAGCATAGGTTTCGAGCTCTCTGGGGTAATGTAACTGAGCACATTTGTTTTTGCATATGTGAATGCAAACATCTATGTCCTCCACGTGCAAACGTCTGCTAACATCTTTAACGTAAGCTTTTTACACAATTCAAAAACAATTCCAATACAGCCAAACTTGCAGAAAACGTTAGCAAAAAAGGTAAAGCCAAGCCTCGGGATAGAGCCGGTGATAAGAGCGCTTCGTAATGATGACTGAGCTGCGGGACGGCCTGAAAGTGGAAAGGAAAGCTAGAGAAATCTTTGGATCGCTGAAATTAAGGCCTTAACCTTCAAAAGGTCGGATGTGGAACGATGGCGAGGCAGGGCGGTCAAAGAAGACAAAACACGCGAGAGATCACGCCGTTCGAGAGAGCATCGAGGTGGGTGGGAAGCGTTGCAACGGGGGTCGATGGTTGCAGGCCCGTAAGGATTAGCGCCCTAACCGCGCAACTTTTGCGGCGAAGCTGGAGTGATCTAGGTAGGTAGGGACCTTACAATTTCCCTCGCGGTATCCCTTCCACAGTCGGGCTAATCCCGGTTCTTGCCTTTAACCTGAACTCCGTGGTAGTTCATGGTGTATTTTAATTGCTGTCACCATAGTTGTCACCACGACAAATTACTGAATCTAGTGCACTCTCCAGAAATAGCGAGGAGCATTGACCAATCTCATATGGAATTTTCTACAACCACTTCATTATATAAACCAGAACTTTGGTGTGTCGGTTTGTCGGTGTGTGTGTCGTTCTGTCCGTCCGGACCAACCGCTCACAAAACCAGGGAGTACGAAGGGCAACACTTCGTGATGTTGATGTCATGATCATGATAAACCCACAGCGGCTATATAAACACCGATCGAGCACACTCAGTCATTCTACATGGTGCTGCCGTGGCAGCCGGATGAGCGGGGGGGAGGGGTAGAGGGAAGGGGGCAGGAAAGGGGAGGCTGGAAGGGAGGGGAGGGAGAGAGAAGAAAGAGAACGTGGCGCTGCTATGCGCCGGAGAGAAGGGGTATAAGGAGGTATAACACATTCAATAGTGAAGGTGGTTAATTTAGTACATTATGCTGCCATTCCGTGGTTCCTCCCTACCCTAAAATTCGCGCGATAGCGGGCGGAGCAAACCTGGTCTTACTATATATAATTCGCTAAGTATGACTGTGCGTGTGTGTAGGTCTGTGTGTGTTTGTTACGAAATTCATAGCGTGCGCACCAACAGTCGTCAGCTGATTTCAAGATATGGTATAGGGGGTAGGACGGAAACATCTTAGGTGGGAGACTCAAAGTGATAACGACTGACAAGATTCGATAAGAGGCGTCAAAACGCCAACTCTACAATATCCATTAGCGCGCGTCCCAGCATCAGTGAGGCATGGGTTCTAAGAAGTGATGTAGAGGGCAGGACGGGAATATCTTAGGTTGGGGAGTCAAAGTGATACGACTGACAAGATCTGATTAAAGGCGGCAAAACGCCAACTCTACGATATCCATAGCGTGCATCCCAGCATCAGTGATGCGTTGGTTCTAACAAGTGATGTAAAGGGCACCTTAGGTGGGGAACTCAAAGTGATAACGACTGAGAAAATCTGATAAGAAGAGCTAAGATGCCGGTTTCACGATATCCATAGCGCGCGTCCTAGCATCAGTGGGGCGTTGATTCCTAGAAGTGTTGTAGGGGGTGGGTCGGGAACGTGTATGGTGGGGAAAGAAAGCGATTACGGTTGAAGTGGCCGTAACGACATGCGCAAGAATATAGAGATCACTCAAAACCAAAATTTAGATAAAGCCTTTCATTTCAATTTTCTTTCATTTGCGTTGTTATCATCACCGAAATACCATTGGGACCGCTACGCTCAAAGTAGTGTTGTGGTGCATGTTCAGAAAAATACGATAGCGAGGCTGGATGTTTCATTTTAACATCACACACAATCCGACCGCTAGAATTACACTGACATAATGTATGGTCTGTTGTTTACAGACACCGCACTCCACTGCGCGTATCGAACGGATGACTTTCGCAAAGATTAGCAGCCCATGAAGCGGTCAGCTAACGCATTTTACGAACCAACTCAATGTTTAGCGGTAAATCTAGCACTTTGTCGGCTGTCCTGTTTTATCCGGGCCTTCCGTTTCATGCGCGCGATAGCGTGCGGCGCTAAGCTGGTATAATATGTATATCACTATTCCACTATGAATATGCCGAAATCCATTTTCAACCAATGCGGTCTGTTTATGTTGCTTCCTTGAAGTCATACTAATTTATCTAGTCTTAACTATAAGGCGTTACTGTCCGTCTTCGTCTGTCGATTTGTCCAACTCCCAGAATGTTCACATAGAAAAGTACCACGGCATGCGACGATGACGGTGTCAGGAATGTTCTAAGCGTCGTACACCTTAGGGAGCATTTTGCATTCTTGACTTCAACAAGTGAAATCAACGGTATGAGACGCAATCCACCACAGCCTAATTGACTTTTGATTTGATTTCACGCTAATCTCTCACAGTAGGCGCAATAGCCAGCCAGCTCGCCTCTGTCCTTCGATGAACGGCAAGTTTCTCGCAGCACTTTCAAGTTGCAAACTCACAACAACGCAGCCGGAGCGGCCCAAACTGAGAAAATCGTGAGTACTCCAATGTCGGCAATTAAATGCGAGGCGCAGATAAAGCCGAAGGCGTTGTGGAACGACGGCGTGCGATAGATTAGAACGACAACCGAAATATTCACAACATTGCCGATGACGCTGATCTGAATATGTAGGTGTATGGTCAATGTTGCACAAGAATGGAGGAATGGGAACGCAATGTGACCCAAGAATTTCTTTGGTGATTTGTGAAGGAATCTTAGCTGTCTTCTGTTACATAAACTGCTAAATTGGTGGGTTGCTTTGCAAGCATTTGTATGTACGGTAATCGCCACATAACTCCGAAAGTTCACGCGAAAAACGCGATTTCGCGTTTTCATTTTCGTTCTTTTGTCCATTATAACTCGGTTCAAAATTATAATTTTAAGAATCGGGATATACAAACTAAATTTAGCTATAGCGAGTTCTACAAGAATGTGCTTTTAGGTTTTGGAAAGCCCCATGTCAGAATGTGCCATGCAGTCAAGTTTCATCCCGAGAAAGATTGTTTGCGGTGGTGTGGTGCGCATGTGGTGCGCGTATAATTACGCTTATGCAACTGATCGTTCTCCAGAGAGATTGGTCCCAGCAATTGCCTTAGAACGCGCCACGTACTCAACATCGCCCATTGCGCTTGTGAAGTAATCGATTGCTTTTTCTAGATTTCATGATTCCTATTTCGTTTTGACGCGCTGAATACATACACTAAACATGTGGTCCCTGCGCTCAACATCTTCTCTCGCGCTTCAGTGGAAATCCTAGACCAATTCTCAGCAGGATAGTAGGCCTACTTGAATTACTTGCCCACTTAAAATTTCCCAGTGTTTAAGCGAAGTTTCTCCAAAATCTTAGGAGGTGAAGGCGAACTCTCTCTTCTGGCGTAGACTACGATTATTTGTCTGTAGGGATTATAAGAAACACTTGGTCGCACGTGAGCGTTTCTTCCGGGATGTGACCGTGCGGACCGACTTCTTCCGTGATGTGACCGTGCCGACCGACTTCGTCAGTCCTTGGGGTCACGTGCGATCCACGTGCGCCTGAAACCTTCGCTTAAGCATTGATGAAGTTTCACCAAATAGTCCTACTGAGCAATTGGTCTAGGCTTCCCAGTCAAGCGCGAGAGGAGATGTTGAGCGCAGGGACTACGTGTTAAGTCATTTAACGCGCCAAAATGGAATAGGGACCATGAAATCTGGAAAAAAGCAATCGATCCATTCACAATACAATGGACGATGTTGAATACGCGGCGCGTTCTGGGGCAACTGCTGAGACCCATCTCTCTGAAGAACGATCATGATGCATAAGCGGGATTATATGCGCACCACATTCAAACAATTTTTTCTCGAGCCAAAGCTCGAGTGCATGGCGCAATCTGAAGTAGGGCTTTCCAAAAGTTTAAAAGCATATTCTTATAGAACTCGACGAGCTGAGTTCAATGCTTTTTTCAGATTTTGAAAATCTCAATTTTGAACCGAGTTATAACGAAAAAACGAAAAAAACGCGAGATCGCGTTTCTTCGCGTGAATCTTTCAAACTTATGTGGCGAGTACCGTAGGTGTGCCTATATGATTGTATGTGTTTGTCTGTCCTCCCTTTGAAATGAAGTGGCACGTAAGCTTATGGAATAAACAAACTGCTACAAATTGGGTAGCTCGCAGGACTTGAGCTATCAATCAATGGCATGTGATTGTGATACTACTCCGAGTACACCGTATGGTCATATCGTGTGGTGCGGTACGAGCCTTACTTGCCGATCTCGGGTTCCAATATGCCGACTAATAGGCATACGCCACGATGAAAGCGTAACGCATTAGAAGGGTACAGGTGGTCAGTGAAGTATGAGTTCAAAAAAGTTAAGCAGAGTGCCCTAAAAGTCAGGAAATGATGCCCTTTCAATCCCTTGATTTCCCTATTGAAACGAGCCTCATTGGCGCTCACATCGTCAGTGCCAGCGCTTCTTATGCTAAACGTCATTTTTTGGTTGGGAAACTGATGGCGATTGTTCTCTCCCTGATTTCATGACTACTGTGAGATCCCAGGCCTTGAACACTATTGCTATCTGCGACTAACTCTTACTGTGGGATCGCAATGAATTCGATGGATTTCCAAACTCACCACCAATATAATTACTCCAGCCACGATCTCATCACCCCTATCACGTTCCATGATAGAGAAGTGAATCCAAATTTTCCAAGCAGCAGCAAGCAGCCTATTTGTTAGATAAATTGGGAAGGAATTCGGTATACTCAACATAATGACGCAATGAAAATAAAAATAATACACATCAAAAGACGTGAAGACACTACATACGTAATGATTCTTGAATTTGTAATGCAGCGTTTATATCAGCAAATGAGTGAGGTGATATACATATTATTATGATGGCTTACGAAGAGGTATCTTATCAGCGACAACAATGACTTATAATGAGGCAAGGATGGCAGAGTGAATTATATGAAAGGCTCATCTCTGTGTCTCTGAAACCGCTGTCTCGATCTCTACCGAGATCTCACCCTGCAGAAATTGCAGAAATGGTTCTACTACCTATGGTATCTCGGTTCAACCTTTCCGGTGTAAGTGGGCCACAATTACTTTGTGACCATATTTGAGCCGAAACCTGCAGGTTATGGTGAGATGCAAATTTCACTTAATTTGAATGACAAAAATTTCTGAAGAGAAAATTGTTCCACAGAATCAAATAACTTGGCACGATATTTTTGATGTCCAATGTACCATGGGCAAGACGACAACTACAAAGATTGCGCTCCAGAAATTTGAAACGAAGGAGTAAAATCCGATGGGTACTGTTAATATTGCTTCTTTGGAGCTTGTCGAGGAAGAAAATGTTGCAGAAGATATGCACGGTATCCAACAAAGACTCATACTAGGGATTAAAAGACTCGAAATAGGGCAAGAAGATTCCAAAAATTTTCTACTGTTTTTCGTTGCTTAGCAGCTTTGTCAGTTCCATCTGCTCTTTGGTTACTATGGTAAATCTCGTTACATTAGTCGCATATTCAAGAGAAAGTAATAAACTAAGGTTCTTCAATAAAATTAAAATTAATAAACGATATGATTCTGAATCTTTTTTTTCTAATTTCTGCTATTACGGCTTGTGATAACTACTTCGGTCATGAATATGGGCATTGCCTTAATTGCCAAGGAAAAGGAAACCGTTAATTCTGCGACAGGAAATTTGCGTGCACCACGCCGAAGACAACAAATTCAAGTAGAAATTATTGTCGAGAATTCAATGTTTTTAAGCCTAGACCATGAAAGATTCCAAAGCATCCTTTGACGTCATTCCGACAACTGCCCCGCAAAGGTTTTGAGAACGTATAGTACTGTAGAATCCAGCATATCTGTAAAGGATTATAGCTCGCAGTACTGAAGTAAGCATTTACACGGCGTGCCGAGACTGGGGTTCAAAACCTATATTGTCAAACGAGTAGCATCACAATACAACAAACAATTTTCAAAAGTATTTGTCACTAAGTTCACGGAATCCAACACTTTCAAGGGTAGATCAATTTCTCCACCCATACAGGCCATCAGGAGAAGATAGAAGCGCGGGTGAAGCTCTGTACTGGTAGACGGCGCAAATGTGTTTCGAGGCTTTCTAGCAAGGAGATATTCCATGAACGACTCTCTATTAATCTCGGCATGATTAGTATAGTATTAGTTGGTTCTCTTCGAGCTTCCGAGATTGATACAGAACTTTATTTCGGCTTACGTTTCGGCGCACTCGCCTTCTTCGGAGCCTGCAAATCGAAGCATATTCTTGAAACAATTCATCCAACCGTCATTTCGGATTACAAGAAGAAGAACTAAGGGATAAAAGCCATGAACAGTGACAAAACCCGCTAACCTTTACAAAAGCCGAGAGCTGGAAGGCACCCTTTGCTTAAAGACCGTGCGGGGTTGCTTTTATACGTGTTTTCGCACCTTAAGGGTCGGGTCATATAGCTTAAGGGAACCCCCCAAGGTGAGATTTGAATTTTAAGGGTCAGATTAGCATTTGATGGACCCCCCAGGATTGATCACGTAGATCAATACCCCTAGCACCCGCGAAAATGATGGTACCTGCTGATCGCCGCCGCGCCTTCCTTCAGCCATCGATTTTTGGAGGTGAAAGCCCGAATCCCCCGCCTCGGCGCCCCGCGGGGGTATTGACCGCGTAGATCAAAACCCACAGAGGTCCGAAAAGGGTGCGAGCTCCCTAGTAATCGCCACGCACTCGTCCTTCCTGTTGATCTTTGGGTCCTTTGCTGCAATCCACATGGCTTCAAGGGTTCTGCGGGCAGATATCTCCTGTTCGCATGCCAAGATCGTAACCTTCACTACCATGTTGGCATTTTCGTGATACTGCACCTTGTGGTCACCTAGAGGGGTGGAACTTTTGGCCTTTTTGAGCCCGTCTAGGTGTTCCTTGATCCTTACGCAGAGCGGTCTGCCTGTTTCTCCTACGTACTCCTCTCCACATATTTGACATGTTATTAGGTACACGACTCCTGACACCATGCAATCGCCAGTTTTTCCGAAAGGGCAAATGACGCAGGAAGGGGTTAGACAGAGTCGGTCATAGAGACGGTTCCGGACCAACTGTCTTTTCAAACTTGTAGGAGGGATATCGACCATTCTCACAACATCCTGGAGACCTGCTTTTCTCAGACAGGCGCGAATGGCAGCGCTCATGTCATCAGAGATGAAAGGGAAGCAAAATGGTATCTTTGTCTGTTCTTCCTTGTTGCACGCTTTCTGTCCTAGTTCCGTCGCCCATGCCACTCCGAATGCCCATTTTGACCGTAACCATTTTCTTTAGCAATACGTTAGGCCATTGTCATTGACTCCGTTTTGTAAACGCCTTCCTTCGTTCTAGGGGTATTGATCTACGTGATCAATCCTGGGGGTCCATCAAATGCTAATCTGACCCTTAAAATTCAAATCTCACCTTGGGGGTTCCCTTAAGCTATATGACCCGACCCTTAATGTGCGAAAACACGTATAAAAGCAACCCCGCACGGTCTTTAAGCAAAGGGTGCCTTCCAGCTCTCGGCTTTTGTAAAGGTTAGCGGGTTTTGTCACTGTTCATGGCTTTTATCCCTTAGTTCTTCTTCTTGTAATC